ACTTGAAAACTAAAATGGTGTTAATTAAGTAAATGGCCTGCTTCTACACGGCTGCCGCCGAGAACTGTCCATTAACAGCAATTTATCCACCGTCGTGATAATTCAGCCACATCAAGTGCATCGTGCTCCAAACTTGAAAATGTCCCAGGCTCCATGGCGGACGTGAAAGGCTTTGCTCTGTCTGAAGGCATCTCAAGCCTGGCAGCTGCCATCTTGGGCTTCAGGGGAATATTCTAAACCTTTGTGGTCTTATGAACCTTAGAAAGATTGAAACAGACCGCTGTCACCCTGTGGGCACCCGGAGGTCGGGCTCGTGGGAGTCCCACACGGCAGTGATTCTCCGTCTTGTAGCTCGGCTTCCCTAGACACCCAGTTCCGTTCAGCCTCTGGTCCGTCGGCGTCGACCGCGGAGCAGCTTTGGAGGGACCAACTGTTTTAAACGTTACATTCAAAATATAGTGAATACCTTGATCCATCGCTAATGTATTTCAAGCAAACACTCATTATCCGATTTACAATAGCGCATGATCTTTCGGACAGTTTTAAAATGGAAATTTTGCAAAGCCATCCCCGTAACAAAATACCATCAATATTCTGGGCAGATATGCACCTGTAATTACCTGTGGGAACACTTCCTGAACAAACACTGTCTCATAGTCTTTCTTATAGCTTTTCCCAGAACCTAACTCAGTAAGGCCTGCAATGCAGCGTACGCTCGATATTAGCTGAAGGGATAAAGGACCATTAAGGAAATACCGTGCGAACCATTTGAATTAGATTTCTGTGTGTTATTCAGGATACCAAAGACATACACTTGCATCATATATACAGCAGACATCTCTAAGGCATAATAAGCATTGTTGTCATTTAGCAACTCTTGAGTTTATTCCATGGGCCCCTGAACTGACGTCACTCGTGTGCTAAGTGACCTGGACAGTAAGCCTGTTCCCTTGTCCTACAGCAGAAACAGATCTGAGAACGCACATGAAGGGGAGGTAATTCGGTAGGGATGGCACTGACAAATACCTTATGCATATACTACATATGCGTGCTGTATTTCATACATTTACATTATATATAGCCACGCCCACTTCACAAAGGATACACACTCTGAGGAATGCGTCATCGGGTGATTTTCTCGTGTGAACATCCCAGAGTGAGCTTACACAAACCTAGGGGGTCTAGCCTGCTGCACGCCTAGGCTGTACGACACAGCCTGGTGCTCCTGGGCCGCACGCCCCCGCGGCAGGTCACTGCACACACAGCGTGAGACCCCGCCAAGCCCCGGGGAAACTGACGCCCTGTAGGGACTCCGCACACCCGAGATACAGGAGGCCACTGCTGGCAGACCCCCGCAGACCTTCACAGCCAACGGTTTCAGGTAGAAAGGGGGACCCCCTGAAATAACGATCAAAAGCAAGGGTAGCAAATACACACGCCAGTAACAGTCAAGCATCACAGGCTGCACCTGGTGGCAGGTGTGCTGCTCTCCCCACACCCCGCGCAGCGCAGTGGGTGCGTTTACGCCAGCGTCCCCGTAAACACGGGAGACACGCGCTGTGCTGGGGCGTTCTGACGGCTACAGCGCCCCTGGGTGAAAGGATTCTTCCACTCCGTTATAACCTCACGGGGCCACAGCAGGCATGCAGACTGTAGTTGGCCGAAATGTTATTATGCACCACGTGACTGTACCCGTACCTGTACAGGATGTGTGGGTGCTTCCCTGCCAAGAGGTGGTACAAATGAAACCTCAGTGAACTACCTCTGCAAGGTCGGTTCGCAAAGGGTCTCGGGTGTGGCGCACACACTTCCTGTGTCCTGAGAAGCCACCGAGGGTTGCTCTTCACCAGCACCCCTCCCACATCCCTCAGAGGCCTCCCCCATTTCCCATGCCAGCCACCCATGCCCCACTGGGGCTGCCTGGAAAATCCTTAACGTGGAAAGCAAGGGAGAGAGGGCTGCTCCCCTGGCGTCTCTTCCACCGTCATCTCCAGACGTGACTCTGGAGACCACGCCACCTCGGTTCGGATTCTCCCAGGAGCACATCTTGTGAGGACAGGTGGGTAAGTGTCTTTGGGAAATGATCCAGAAAACACCAATAGGGGGATGACGGGAAGGAAGCCAAGAAAGTTTACAATATCAGCGAGTTACCATGTGGGCAGGCGGAGCTCGGCCCCACAGGACCCGGGCAGAACGCTCCTCGGAGTCATGCCAGCCCAGGAGACAGGAAGCTCCTCTCACAACCCTGCCTGCTGGGTGGTGCACCCCAAGGCCAGGGGAAGAAGAACACAGTCAGGGTGTCTAGAAAACAGCCTAGAGAACATGGGCAGAGCACCCCAGGCACCTGTGGGTGGACCCTGTCTGCCTGTTCCTCCAGAAAAGGGGGCTCCCTCCTCGACTCTGGGGGTGGAGGCCGTGAAGAGAGCGGAGCAGTCTCGCGTGGCCCCTCGGACTTGAGTGCGAAGAGGCACCGTGTCCGCAGGGCAGACGAAAGGGACGGCTTCACTGACCGCCTGTCAGTTTCGGATCCTGGAGAAAACTAAGCGAGAATTGCAAACTGCAACTCAGAAGAAGGGAGTCAGCATTTAATGAGCAACTAAACCATGCTCACTCAATGCAGACAAGTGATCTTTATCCATTCCAATCCATTCAGTGGAAGAACTTCAGAGCTTCTTGAGGAATCTGAGTGGCAAAGAACTGAGCTGGAGTGCCATCTTTACATTTATAAGACATGTTGCAAAGAGAAGCATTTGATTTCTGAGAAAGTGAATGTCCTACTCCTTAAAATAACAACCCACTATTCAGAGAGTGTTGAAGACTGAGATAACATATAGCATAAGTTAACATACATATATTTATATTACACACACACGTGTGTGTAGATATATATAGATACGAATATAGATATAAGTATAAAACACGTAGCATAATTAACACATAGTAGCAGCCAGTACTTAGTGCTAACTAGCTGATAGCCTTGAACCTTACAGAACTATGATTTCTGAATCTATTTGACTGAATGACTTGCCCAAAGTCACTCAGTGAGTGAAGAAATAAACAAAGGTCCTGGTCCCCTACCATCAAAGCCTCTTGTCTTCAAAGATGGACAACAAATGGACCAAAACTGAATATTAAGTTTTCATAAAGCCACAAAATTAGTCTAATCTTTAAGAATAGATGAGCAACTTAAAATGTTTAACACGTCATTTTTAACAGTAAACATGGCCAATCTTTAAGATAAAGTTGGGCTAACATAATCTTTATTGAAATAGACATTATAAATAAATGTATAAAACTTTTTTTTTTCAAAACAGCAGCGACTCTTGTAGGCAGCATCCAGCCGACCACAGTTCTCAGTACTGACACGTATCTGCAGGGTCCTCAGAAAGTTGACAGCAACTGCACAAGTAATAATGTCTTGGCTACAACGTTAAAAATCAAACAATGCCCCCAGCACCAACTCCTCTGTGTGTACTGAGCCCCCCCCCTCACCTTTCTACACAGAAGAGAAGATTTCTGTTCTACATGATGAACCTGAGGTCCTCAGGTAACAAAGCCAGGGCCAGTCATCTGGAGCACTGCACTTGAGAAGCCATTTAACCAGGCTGATACAACGTATGTCCATGTCCACTAGCAATGCCTGTGTGTTCAAGTATTCTTTTCTTTCCCTTCTTCTTTCAACCAGCACTCCTTACTTCTCAAGACTCCTGGTAAATTGGTATCCATTGTTTTAAGCCTAAACCAACACACACACACACACACACACACACACGCACACGTCTTTGCCTAAAAAGAAGAGATGGAGCTGAACTCCTGTCCTCTGCAAAACACCTGTATCCCTTTGAACCACTGACAGGACACCAAACAAGAATCAGGCACTGATGCACGGGATGTAATCCTGCGTGTGTAGGGACAGGAGTTGGTATTGGAGCTGAAGTGATGAGGGAAAGAAGGAAGGGACCTCCCAGGGGTGAGTGAAGAGGTTTTTGAATCGGACCAATAATGGATCTTTTCTGTAATTAAATTACAACGTCAATATCAAAGTGAACTTCACGGAAACATTTCAACTGGATGGAGAGCCTAGCTCGCATATTATTTCACAACAAGGACATGTGGCATGTGCTACATGAAAGGACCATTCCAGAAAATACCACATTCAATGAAACAGAAAATGTGCTTTTTTTAACCATGAGACCGAGCTAGCCGGAGGAATTTCAGAAGTTCAGGCAAAGCAGTGATGCTGTAGAAAATTCACATGAGCAATATTTTGCTAAGAATGACTATTCCAGTTTTGACACTTATCTTAATTTTGTGACATACAGGCTGTAGGCTATTGAGGTTAAAAATACCTCAGTTGTGAGAAGGATGGATCATTCTCTGCAAACACCATGATCACTATCATTAATAACAGTCACAGCTGCCGGCCGAAGTGAGTCCTTTCCATGGCAAAGGCTGTCATGTTCAGGAACCACCTGTTACATATTTAAACCGACCGTCCACCTGCAACTCTCAATGTTTACAAAGCATCACACACCTGGTGGCAGGTCACGCCTGCTCAGGACAACGCGGGCTGACTACGCGGGTGCAGGAGATTTAAGTCTCTCCTGGGCTCCCCGCGCCGACCTGCGCGCATCTGCGAACGCGATCACCAGCACCGGAGGGGGGGAAGGAGAACGGGCGCCGGGATTGCGTGCCATTTGGGTTTTTCCGCCTGGGATACCAGCCTCACACACACCCTAGGGAAACGCACGCGGACAAGAATGAGCATCACAGAAAGGCAATAAATCCGCCGCGGGGACAGGAAGGTGGAGAGGGAAGGAGTTGCTCGTCTGTGACAATGTTTCCATGGAGTCAAAATGGAGAGACAGACCAGCGTGCCTTTTGCTGGCTCCCCCTCCCCGGCTCCAGCGGCCTCCCCTCCCCTCCCGCCCGCCCCGCAGGTCCCCACCTGTCTCCGCCCCAGCCGTACTGAGGGAACCACCCTGCCCCGCATCACTCACCTGTCGTCATTCTGCCATCCTTGGTCCCCTAGCAGCAAATCCCGAAACCTGTACCTGGGAGGCAGAGGGGGGACTTCGCTCTCCAAATCAACCATCCCTCCTCCGGGGGTAGGGGACACAGGCCAGCGCAGGAGAGGAGGGAGGCAGGCGGCGAAGGTTGCGGAGCCGCGGGAGGGGGCGACTGAGACGCGGGGCCTGGAGGGGGGCAGCAGGGGGAAGGGGCGCGGAGGGGGAGGGTCTGCTCGGAGCCGGAAGCCCCGGCTGCAGGGGGCTGGCTCCTCTCTCCCTCCGGAGAGTGATGGGGATGATGCAAACCCAGCCCAGGAGCAAAAGTCTGGCTCCGACCAGAATCTCCGCTGCCAAGGAACCGCCCCCGGGCTCGGCACCGCCTCTGGTTCCCCAGGACTCGGGGGAGGCGGGAATGCAAAAGTAACTTGGGCGGGGGGCGCGGTGCCTGGAAAGAGGGGATTCGGTGGGAGCGTGCGCCACGTGACGCCGGAGCGCTTCCCGGAAAGGCAGCAGGCGCACCAGGCGCGGGACCCCAGCCTGGGTCCCCGAAACCGCCCAGGCTCCCTGCACGCACCTTCGTGGCAATGAGACGCCCCCTCATTTGCATAACATGGTGACGCACGGAGGGGCCTTGGGGATGACCAATGAGGGCACGCTTAATTTGCGGATTTGCGGGCTCCAGACCCTCCGTGGGAGGGGGACACAGGACGCTGGGAGTGTCCAAGGTGCTCCCAAGCCCTTGGGCTTTGCGCGCCTGCAGCTGGGTGGGCGGGCTGCAACACGCGCGCCCCTGCGGAGGGAATCCCCGCTCCAGCCCCAGGAAAGTCCCTTTTCTTTTTCTCTTGCCATCTGCAAGAATGGGAGGTGTTTCCCTGATCCTGGAAAGGAAGGAAGGCACTTCTCCGGCCGCAGAAGGGACACATGTGAAGGAGGACCAGGGTTGCTCCCTGAAACCTCGAGGACCAGATACTGGTCCAGGACTGTTGGGGCTCCTCCCGGTGCTGGGGGCTCGCAGGTGCCACCCCCCAGCCCTGGGGAAGCTCCCAGGCGTGGTCCACCCAGCCAGAGTAAGGAGGTAACTGGAGAGCTGGTTTTCCAGCATCAACGTCTGCTTCCCTTGCAACCTTGCTGTGGATGCAGGAGCCCTAGTTCCATTTGCACCGAGAACTGATCGGGCTCTATACAGACAGCGAATGCATCCCAGGCAACGGTATGGGGAACCCTGAACATGGCCCACGCCCTTCGGAATCCCCTAGTGTGCCCGGAGGAACCCGCTTGCTGATGAAGTGATACAGTACGAGACTCAGTGATCAGACCACTTTTAAAGGGATTTGGGGATGCCTCGGATGCAGGTATTCTTGGAGGGCTGAAGAGAGACTGAAAATGAGCAAAGCCCCCTGTTCGTTTGCTCACCGTTTCAGAGGAGGGAAGAAAGCATGAGCGAGCTGAATAGCACGGGCAACGTAATTTGAAAAACTGTTTGGTTTATCCAGAAGACAGTGAACTTGATGTGATTAACCTTAGTGAGGTCATTCAGTGGGGGTTTATAGAGAAAATCGGAACTACAAGAAGACATCAGCAACAAGGCGCTATTAGTTAAAACAGGATGAGTAAGTGAACCTGCAGCGTCACAGCGGGAATGCAATAAGTAGTCCGCACCCTACGTCTCTGTCTTCAAATCCCACCTGCTCCTCCTGCTCAGATGCTGTAACCTCCACTCGGTTTCCTGGGTGGTCCAGGCTAGTGCTGGTGCCTTCTTCCTCGGACCCCTCTGACCCCGTGTGTTTTCTCATTGCGCTATTGCATCCGGCCTGCCGTGTGAACGATTGATTGCATTTTTCTTCATTTTGTGGAGACGCATTAGAAGCTTTTATACCTAGGACGTTATTACTTTTTCACATGTACTGTAGCTCCAGAGTTGTGTATGTGTTTACGTTTCTTTTCCGTGACCGTATGGAATCGCTTTGCCAAATGAGGCAGCTCCATCACCACGCTGATGGTGCACGGAAAGGAAAAGACAAAACAGCACGTTTATATTTGGGCCCTTGCATTCTGTTTGTTAAGATAGTGCTATGAAGTTCACCTTTTAAATGTTCCAGGTGAAAACTTAACAGTTTTATTTGTATTATGACCATCTGCTTTCATATGTTTCTGTATCAGCAAAAGACGCAGAAGCAAGGCAGTTAAAAAACCTCGCTGTTGAGTGCTGGGCACCGAGATACACAAAGTAGGAGGGGAGGCCACGTCACGTTTTACATATAAAAAAAAGGCAGTGTACCGTTATTTTTCACTTTCGTGGCCATCGTAATTATTTCACTTCAAGAGTCCAGGTAACAAAGAAAAAAATGAAGAAATAAGTAAAAGCCTGCTCAGCCCATAGGATACAAATGGTACAAAGTACCTGAACAGGCCAAGCCACGTGGGTCCTTCTGCGTGAATGATGCACTGACTTCCGTGTGGCTTAAAATCGCTGTCCGCATGGAAAATTTTACACTTAGAAATCTAAACCATTAAAGAAATAATGCAACATGAGAAATACTATCCTGCCATTGTTAAAATCTAGTGATCTTCAAAGCATTGAAACAAATTTATAATCGGAAGAACCTTTTGCTTACCTTTATATATTTTTCAACTTTCTGAAGACAGATTTTTTAATTTTTGTCATTACTTGACTTTCAGCTCTCCCGCCTGTCCTTCTGCACTACACTTTTATGCTTTTTTTTTCCAAGCCACTTCCTGCTGTTAAAATGTACTTTCCTCTTTCCGTTTTTTAAATCTTGGTTTTCTTTTTCCACTGTGCTCTTTTAATATCCTATTTCATAGACTCTTGTTCTCTCCGTGTGCGTGAAAGCTTTCATTCCGCTGTAACATGACAATCGGTTTTTCGAAACAATTTTAAACTTAGTTCTGCCCATTATAGTCTCGCACCCCTCTGAGTGGCATTCTTCAGGCCCCCCTCAGCATCTATCCACAGGCAGAAAAAGGTAACAAAACCTGCCCTATTTTCTTACCGTGTCTAGCTGCATGAGCAAAGCCATTTTTATTTCATCAACAGTGAAAGGAGGATACAGTAAAAAGAAAAAGTGAAACAGTAGAATATCACATTCTTTTCACAAATCCCCCAGAAAGGCCCAGGTAAGTAGTAGAGCAGAAGACCATGCGCCGGAGACTGATGGATTTTGCAGCAGTGCAGGCAAGCGAGCCGCACATCTAGCGCTTCCCGGCGTCCTGCAAATAGTGCCGGCCTGAGCAGAGAAACCAGGACGCTCGCCTGGCAGTGGAAACCTGTCCAGAGGCAGGTCCACTTTGTCAATAGCAGTGTCCTCCTCTGCCGTGTTCCTCCTCGCCTCTTCCCTCTGCTCCTCGCTCCCTCCGGATGCGCAGCTCAGCGCTGCTCTTCATGGTGGCTCATCTCTGCATTTACCTGCTTCTCACTCTCTGCACCTTGACTGCACTTTGAGAGGGAGTGCACAGAGGCAATGAGAGAATCCTTCGGTGCCAAACTGTCACTCAACAACTCTGAAGCCTGTCCTCTTCCAGTAACCCAGGAATTGCCTCCATGTTATTGTTCTACCCACAAAACACATGTATCAGTGAGGGAAATCTCCAGAAGGCTTGGAAAGCTCCAGTATTATCTTGGATCGTCCCATCCTCTGGTTGCCGGTGTCCCAAATCCTGCTCATTGATACCTTAGACAGGGCACCCCTGTGCCCTGACCCTCGTCCAACCTGCTAAAGCAGGATGACAAGCGCCCTTTTTCTTGTTTACGGTCTTCGTCAACTGGTGCGCGAGCGACCGCAGTCCGGTGAGCTCCTGGGAAGCTGCGTGAGTGGATGGAATAACTGTCACTCTTCCAACATGAGAACATACAGGTGTTTGAATATTCATAGCAGCAGAGTGAGGGACCAGCATGTGCCAGATACTATGCCAGGAGACTTGCCATAATTTTGAAAAGTAACGTCCAAATTTGAAAGATGAAAAACTTAGGTTCGGATGATACCACCCCGCTACAGGGTGCTCAGGCAAGATTCAACACCTCAGTTTTCTCAGTCCGAAGTGTACACTCTTCACAGAACAGCTGAGAAAGCAAGTTTATGGTCAACATCTAGTGCACGCTTATGTTCTTCGATTGGTAAGCTGAATGGTAAAATGGAGTTATAAAATCGTCCCACCCCTCTCCTACAGATGTGCTGGGCTCCAGCCTCGGTTCCCTGCTTTTCCACCTGCGGGACCGCCCATCACCTGTGTGTTTTCCCAGAAGTCTCCTCTCTCCCTCCCCCAGGGCCTTCTCATCACTTCCTTCAGCAGAGAAGACTGTCCTGAGCACCCAACAGAGACATGTCACCCAGCCACTGTCCATCACAGGAAACCATTGTAGCACCCATGTTAATTAGCTTTTAAAGGTAGTCCTTGCCATCTCCTGGATCATGCTAATCTCTTTGCCTTTTCCTTGCTCTGCCTCTCCTCCTAAGCTCTGAGCCCAGCGTGTTGTAGACGGGAGCCCGCAGAACAGCAGCCGGTGCAGAGCAGGGACTCGAAAACAAAGTCTGCCCAGTGATGGGAAACAGGAAAGGGAAGCAAGGAGAGGTGGAGGAAAGAAAAACAATTTGTTCAAAAACTTCCCTAGCTTTCTCAGTTCCAGTATGGGGACAAGGCATTGGACATAGAGACAAGGTTCTTAAGTGTATGTGTGCAGGCATGACATGGCCGTGTCGTGCGTTAGTCAGAGGTGCAGATTCCCAGAGCATCCGTGACGGCCTCGTGTGGAGGTCACACAGCCCTCTCGTGCGCGGTTTGATTCGAGAGGCAGAGTAGTGCTTGCCGGACAGAAAACATATGTAGGGTGTGGTCGTAGCCATTGAGGTGGTTTTACTTGCATGAAATATTGTCATTAACTTGTATTGATTCCTCCGATGTACAAATTTAATTTCCCGGGGGGAAAACTTGAGGTGATTTCTGCATGATTGCTGTATTATTGCTGTAATACATCAACAACTCATCACAGGCGGTCACTGCCTGTCCAGGACAGACTCATTTGTTTAATAATGTGGCAATATGTTATATTAATAGGATAAATATTTCTCTCTCTTTGCAGATGATTCAACAGAGGCGACAGAGAGCTAAAATAAATTACTCAGTAGCCCTTTCAGTATGAATGATATGAAAGTCCAATCTTCCTCATTATGAGGCAATGTCCCAAGGCTATAAGCTGACAGTTTTCATTGCAAATAG